TGTAATGACTTATCACGAGAAAAAACGTATTCACATGTGACTTTAAAAGCATTTCTTACTTAATGGAAACACCGCAATTGCAAAACTGTTTTTTCGACATTAACAGAATATCGACAAAGTTTTGCGCACATTTGCAATAGAAACGCAGCTAATGCCCTAAAGCACCAATCAGAAAATTAGTTCCTCTATTAGTGCTTTAGGGGAACTGTGCCCACCACTGGCTGTGAAAATAGAACAGAAAAAGTTGAGTCTGGATCCATATTTGTGCTCAGATATCTGTGCTGTTTACGTGACGAGACAAATATTTTAACAATAAATTCTGAATTCTTTGTCTTTTTTCTAACAATAAAGGTGAAACCACAGACGCGCTGGAGGCTCATCACCTGATGTTCACAGGGCCTGATAATCAGCTCCTGGAGAACTTTGTAGAACCCAGTAATGGCCCGGCGGCTGCAGRGGAACAGTTTCCTGGACCTGCGTTCGCCAACGGTCTCCGAGAGGAGCCGACGGTGAAGCTGGAGCMCACGGCCGAGGACTTCCTCTCTGCGAGTCAGATGAGAATGAATAACAGCACAGAGAAAAGCCAGATGTGGACGTCTGCAGCAGAGGAAAGCACAGAACCCCCCGATCCGACCATCTGCGTGCTTTTACAAGATGTGAAGTATCGCCTGGGTTCACCCGCAGAGGGAGCCGATGAGTCACAGATGAACGACCTGACCTGCCCAGACAAGGAGACGTACTCAGTCATGGCCGTGGAGCCCAGGAGCTCAGATGTGGCTGACGCTCTGAAGCTAACCGATGCACAGGAAGTGGTTGTGGGGGATTTCTGCTCAGCGAGCGACAGAATCCACCGGGATGAAGCGTTTGATTTTAACGCRGCAGCTTCGGGCAGCTTTCAGGACGCCAGCAGACAGAGCAGTTACATTTGCTCCAACTGTGGGCGGAGCTTCGACTCGTTCGGTACGTTTCAGGAGCACCGGTGTGAAAAAACCCCTGAGCCGGCGTTGGGCTGCGAGATCTGCGGGAAAACCTTTAACCAGATGAGCATCCTGAAACTGCACCTCAAACTACACGTCAAATAAAATCGACACGCTTTTTCTACGCAGCGAAGAACCGGATCACAACACTTTATTTATAAAGCACTTTAAAAACATCCAAAATGCTGTACAATAAAAACAGAACATAACACAGGCCGGAAATACAAAACTACAAACTATACCTCAATAAACGGGTCCAACAATAAATAAAATTAAAATGAGCTCAAAATCAACATGAAAGTCAAGGAGTTAAAGTGTTTTTACACGAGATTTAAATAAAGTTTAAGGAGCCAAGTTAAGGAGTTTTTGGAGTTTTGTTCATGAGTGAGGGAGCGTGAGATTGACGGACGGATCGGTGCAGCTTCTGCAGTTTTGTGGACTCTGTACCGGTCTGTTGTGGTGAAGAGGGAGCTGAGCTGTTAGGCGGTCTACRTTACCCTATGGCTACATCTATTGCTGCAAACTTGCGTAGTGATGGAAAGAACCAGATCAGGTGAGAAGTTCAGTTCAGGAGAKGTTCAGAATAGAGCYGCTGCTCCTCCTGATCGAGAGGAACCAGCTGAGGTGGTTCATCTGACCTACAGGGAGTAGACCCAGAGGAATGCCCAGGACACTGGAGAGACTGYGTCTCAATTTATGGGTTGCAGCCRACGTCGGCCGCATTTGTTGGCCACTTATGTCACCKTCCTGYGCCGTAGGCTGTCCCAATTCGTAGGTGCCTATTCATTCGGCCGACAAAACCCCGAAAACATSGGTTGCAAGTTAATTATTTTTATTTTACGGTGGAGTTCTTTCTTTTTTAATGACGGAGTTTGGAAATTCATTACGGCCCGGTGAATGCAAGTGAAGCAACTTAGCTGAAGAAACTTTTGTTACGATGAGATGTTCAATAAAATGCMGTTACTAATATACKTTGACTGTGGTCTACGTCTGCTGCAACCCATGAACTGAGACACAGACTACGTCTCTCGTCTGRCCTGGGAACACTTTGGAGTCCTCCCAGAACAGCTGGAAGAGGTGACTCAAGCTGCCGCCCCCTACGATTCGACTCTGGAACAAGTGTAAAATATCGGCTGGATTAAAACAGGAAGTGAAGGAGCCTGTGATGTTTAAAGGCAGAGCATTCCAAATTCTTTGCTCTGTTGCTCTTGAATCTGCGTCTGGTTAAAAACCTTCTGGTCCACGGTCCTGAAGGAGCGAGATGCTTCAGAGTGCAGCTGTTCMGACAGACTTAAAATCTAATGAAAGGGTTTTAAAATGAACTGGAAGCCAAAATTGGATCAATATGGTCACATTTACTAATGTCGGTTGAGCATTTTGCATCAGTTTTAAGGGAAGCCCGAGGAAATCCATTAAAGAAGCACATTCCAGTAATCCAGACAGGAGGTTAGAAAAGTTACTTTTCAACAAGATCAGCTTTATTTTGAGGAGAAAAACAGAATTTAACCAGTGTTAATCTGGTCTCTGGCTGTCGTTATAATAACACATGTATGCATAAGACTTTATTTATGTAATTTAAATAAACACTTGACATGAGAACAAAATGTAATGAGAAATTTCACCCCTTTTTTTAATTGATTGACTGCTTAAGAACAGAGTTGCTCTTCATGTTTTCTCTACAGTTCTGAGGAGAAAACAAATCAGTGTTATTATAAGTTACTCTGTGGTTTGTGCTCTAATGTCCAGAGCTGTTCTTCTGTTTGACAATGTGACTGAAATGAGGTGGAAAAAAACGATTGTAACTGTAACATGATTCATCGTCATCATCATCATCACTCAGTAAGAAAAAAACTGTATAGGTCTTCTGGACGGGTTCTTCTCTAATGAAACGTTTCGTCTCTCCTCCAAGAGACTTCTTCAGTCTGAGAGTTTCAGGCTAAATTCAGGCTTTTAAGCCCTGCCTCCATGTGACTGATACTCACATCACATGGCTATCGTTGACACCTAATTAACACCTATTGTAAACAGGGGGTGGAGTGATACTGGCAATAGCAGCACTGTAGGAGGGGGACAACTGAAAACGGAGGCCTCCACCTCTGTTTAATGGTGGACGGTCTTTCTTCACAAAAATGTCTTCTTTTACTCCTCTCTCAAACCAACGTTCCTCTCTATCAAGAATGAGAACATCCTCATCTCTGAAAGAGTGACCGCTGGCCTGTAAATGAGTGAAAACTGCAGAGTTCTGGCCATTAGATGTAGCTCGTCTGTGTTGGGACATTCTTTTGAACAGTGGTTGCTTTGTTTCCCCGATGTATAACTGGTCGCAGTCCTCCTGGCACTTAACAGCATATACAACATTGCTCTGTTTGTGCCGGGGCACCGGATCTTTGGGGTGAACCAGCCTTTGCCGTAATGTGTTTTGGGGTTTGAAAGCCACTGGGACATCATGTTTAGAAAATAAACGTCTCAGTTTCTCCGAAACACCCGCAACATACGGAATAACCACTGGTTGGGGTCTGGGTTTGGCGTCTTCATTTTCACCTGAAGGTTGCATGGARTCCTGTCTGTGTTTCCTGTCTGCTTTCAGGAAAGCCCAGTCAGGATAACCACACTGGTCCAGGGCCTGTCGTGTGTGTGATTTCTCTTTCTCCCTGGCTCCTGGGTTTGTAGGGACACTGTCTGCTCTGTGGTACAGAGTCCGTTTCGTCTGAGACGAAACGTTTCATTAGAGAAGAACCCGTCCAGAAGACCTATACAATTTTTTTTCTTTTTGATTTTTTACTTGGATTACTGAGATGCATCAGGACATCATCACCCAGTCTTTCCAATAATATTCATGTTTAATATGTTTGAAGAGGAGTTCAGTGGAAGGAAGTTGGACTAATAAAGATGACTCACAGGGTCTCTGTGTGGTTATTTAACATGTATTGAGCCTCATCAGCTGTTTTAATATTTGTTTTAAGGTTGTTGTTTGCAAAGGGGCGAAGATGATGGCAAAGACAAATATCTCTAAAGGTATTTTAATTTCTGTAACTCCGCTCAGGACCCCCTACAAGGTGACTCAAGGTGGAGTTCTGACCCCAACTGTGGAATCAGTGGTGTAATTATTAAAAGCTACACGTTTCTGTCTTCTATAATTGTTGCCGACAGRTGCGTAAAGTTCTGCATCTGTACCTGTGGTCTGTTTTAAAACASAATAAGCCGTTTAATCCTGCAGACCAAAGTATTCACAGTGATGAAGTGGACACTGACCTAAGTCTAAATGTTTAAATAAACAATAACTCAAATAATTTAATCACTAACAATAATCCAACTTCCAGCCTTAAAGTAGGATTTCTCTCTCAAATCTCTCAGGACTAACTTTAAAGGATTATTTTTATTTATAAAAAATGTTTTGATGGGTGTATAATTTGGAAAACATGGTGGGTTATGGACTTTAAAGACTGCTGCAACTAAATTGTATAGGAATTAGAAAGGGGGGAAACATGTCTGCATTTTTAATTATAGTTTTTTTTTATTTGTTATAAACTATACAGTATTTTTTGTTTACATGCATACGGTCTTTTCTTTTGTCCTAAAGTTGAAAAATTATAAACAATTAAATTTGCGATGTATTTTTAGTTTTATAATGTCACCCACACTGGCCAGAAAGTGTGGGTGGTCCTCTTTTTCGCTGCGCCTTTATTTTTGTCTTTACGGTAGGGCTCCTACGTCACGCGGAAGAAAGGTTTCAGCTACAGCTAGCTGCTGCCACAAACACACAGGATGTAAAAAAAAAATATCTCCGGCGTTGTTTGTTTTTATTATTTTCTGTTAAACATAGATACATTTTGGAACGAAGCTCCCCTCGAAACCGCATCCTCTCGTTGCCTATGAGGGAATATTTACGAACATGGCGACGTGTATTCCCTTCCAGAGCCAGCTGTCCTCAATAATGGAGGTCCTGGTGAAGGCAGCGGTGGCAGAGATCTCCAAACTAGTCGATGACAAATGTGCGATTTTACACCTGGAAATCTCCAGAAAACAGAGCGAGAACGAGGTGCTGAAGAGAAAACTGCTGCTGATGGAGAAGGAAAACGCTCAGCTGCAGAGAGGACTGGGAGAGATGCTCAGTTCAGGTATCTGCTCCAAAATAAACAATGTCTTCTTTTTTTTTTTTTTTTTTGTTATTTTTCGTGCATTTTAATGTTGAATTTAATACTTTATTATTTCAAGGAAAACAACTCAAAGTCCAGGAGCTGCAGAACTGCAACTCATCTTTACCCAGATCTGTTTATAATATGTTTACCTCTTAAAATAATTTCTTTGTTACTTAAAAAGACTTTTATCTTTGATGTAGAAAACTACATGGATCGAGGAACTGATGTAGGAAGCAACAACTTGCATCCCACAAGAAATATAAAGGTGAATGTTTGCTTTTATCATTTTAAAGCTTTTGTTTTTTTTGTTGTGTTAATTTTTGTTATTTCTACCTGGATAATTGAACATCAACAGACCAGTTGCTTTGATGTGGAGTGGTAGTAGCTGAGACTGATACCGAACTATCTTTCTCATGCGATCAATTGTAATTTCAAGGTTTGACCAAATCACGACAAAACTCAATTTAAAACTCTGGCTTGAACTGTGGCGGGTGATAGGTGTCAAGGAAATCTAGGCCTTTTAATGTTGAAGATTTTCACCTTTTTAACTCAGTTTTCTGGGTTGTTTTAGTGCCTTTAGCTCTTTTTTTGTACTCGACATTTCCAAGTGTGTTTGATTTTTTTCTTTCATCAGAATCACTGGCTGCTTTAATAAAAAAACATTTATTTTCCCCACTAAACTGTGTTTCTGATCCAGTAGTTAAAATAACTAAAGGTGAGTTTAATCATTGTTTAATCTTTGTGTAGACATATAATAATCTCTTTAAACATCTTTGATTACTGTGTGGCTAAACTAGTTGGTTGAGATTTAGTCACCTGACCTGGTAGATCAGCACACTATATTTCTTTTTGAGATGCTTGTCTGGAAGCACAGTTCAGGCTTCTTAAATGACATAAAAGAATTTAAACACTAAACATGTTTCTATCATTAATGAGTTCATGAGATGGTGAACTAACAGCAACTGTTAATCAGATTTCAGGGAAAAACAGAAGCTAATTCGTCTGTTTTCATGTAGTTTCCTGAGATTCAAGACGCCAGCGCCTCTTTTACAATTAAAGAAGAAAGTGAGGAGTTGTGGATCAGTGATTCTGCCGGTGCTGTTGGTGAGCTCAAGAATTATTTCTTATTTTTTTTCCAATTTAATTATTTCACTAAGCTGCTACTGTTGACAGCTGGTTTGCAAACAGTGAATTTTGACTGAAACAAAAAATTGCGTACGTTCTTACAAATTTCTTTCAATGCTCCAAATATTTGCAGCCCACTGATGTTCAGGCTTATAAATCTGATCCTTTTTGCACCTGTCCCTTTCAGGTAGCGCTGTCCAGTACCCTGGTTCTGATAACGATCCAGAGAACCGTCAGTTAACCCAAACAGAGGTCATGAGACAAAAGCCGTCAGAGTTTGGGGACTCGTATAACTCTGGTCCACATTCAGTGGACATGGGTGGTCTTCCGTTCCCCGTGAAGGCAGAGAAAGAGGAGGGCCGAGTGTCCTTCAGGCCGGACGGATGTCGGCACGGCGCGGGGAAGCAGGCTCAGATCGCAGCGGAGTATCCCGTGGACGAACGAGAGAATCAGCTCTGGTCGTCGTTTATCGAAGGGAACGACATCGACGCGGGCTTTCCTGACTTCTCCAGCGTGGTCGAGGAGTACTCCAGCTCCTTCTCCGAGCACTCGGACGCCACGAACGCGGCCTCCAATGCCAACAGGTCGCCCTGCGCCCAGCAGTGCAACGGGATTTACAGCGGCGAGTACCAGAAGGAGCCGCTGCTGTCGGACTTTCAGCCCCGCCCTCAAACCGCGCTGTTGCAGCAAGACGAGAAGGAGCAAATATTCCCGCAGAGGAGCGCGTCCCGCTCCGCTCAGCCCGACGTGGAGTTGGTCACCGAGGACAGGCCGGGCGCGACCGAGTCGCATTTCTACCCCCACAAAGCCCTGTCCGCCGTCAGCCGGGGCTACGCCTGCTCCCAGTGCGGCAAGTCCTTCAGCCGCCTGCACCAGTTCAAGCTGCACCAGCAGAGCCACAGGAGGAAGCGGGCCTTCTGGTGCACGGTGTGCGGGAAGAGCTTCCAGTGCTCGTCCCACCTCAGCATCCACCACCGCACGCACACGGGCGAGAAGCCGTACGGCTGCGCACAGTGCGGGAAGAGGTTCACGCAGCAGAGCAGCCTGAGGGTCCACCAGCGCACGCACAGCGGGGAGCGACCCTACAGCTGCTCTCAGTGCGGGAAAACCTTCATCCTCATGCACCATCTGAAGCGACACAGGATCATCCACACGTACAGCTGAGGCGGAGACGCCTGCAAACTGAAAGCATTGAAACCAAATCGAAAAACAAACTGCAGCTCTTTAAAAACTTTGTATATTAATGCATATTTTACTATGCAAAATCCATCTGGGATGGGTTTGAAGTCGTGTGCTTCTTTTTAAAAACTTACTAGATGATCAAAATGTGAAATTGATTCATTCATTCTGTCAACATTTTCCAAAGCTAGAAACCCCCAAAAAACAAACAAACAAACAAACAAACAAACAAGGTGTGGACCATCAAACAGAAACTGAAACTACCACCTGGTTTATTCACAAGTCGACTTTTGTTCAGATTCCCTCTCAGGTTCACGTTTTAATGTCGGAAAAACGCACCAAACCTTTTGTTTTTTTCAGGAAAGTCTTGATCAGATTTTAAATTTTGGGACTGAGTTTAAAGCACAGCGACGCACCGTTAGAGACGGATTAAGGACTCAATCAGGAGGGAGGCCAATCTGTTGAGCTTGTGGCTAAATCAGTTTTTTTTTCTAAAAATAATGATAAAATCTCTTCATGCCTTTTTCCTTTTGGACCCAGGATCTGGTCACATACGGTACAGCCTGCCTAAAATTACTCTCTGRTACCATTTCTATGAAAAACAAAAGCTTTTTTTTTTATATTGAAGGATAAAGGTGATGTCATCATGTTTATTGTTTGTACCATTTATGTTTTGAGTCAGTAGTTTTAAGTTTTAGGTACAAATTATTCAGATTATTTATGTTTTTGTTTATTTTTATGATGAATTCAAATCACAAATGGAATCTGTTTGGTTTCGGCTCGGCTGCATGTTTCAGGCATGAAGCTAAAGCAGCAGCAGAGGGCAGCGTGGCTCCTTTAGCTTCTTACAGCACAGGAGGGCCAGGCTGCAGCTTTCAACAGGGAGTTTCACACTTTCAATTTTAACTTTTTTATGACGAGTAAAAACGACAGCTTCCTCCTTTTTAGGCACAACTCTGCTGCGGAGATGTTGGTGTTCAGACAGCACAACTTTGTTCAGAACGGTCACTGAATGAATTGTTAAAAATTTATTGATGGTTTCTGGAAAACAAACCCTAAACTGTAGAAATCACCTGTTTGTTTGTCACCCTCRTGTGTCGGAGTAATTACTGTCAGGTTTGATTTTAGTTAGATTACTTAGACCTAATAACCTGATAAGTTTTTGCCATTGCAAAGGGAAATTAAATTTATGTTGCAAAGTCATTCCCATAAAAATACATGACCACAAACAAAAAGGCTAATTGAATGTCAGTTTTGAGGGGCTTCAGGGTTAAAATGGAGTCCAGATATGTTTTGTTTTTTTATGCCAGAGCTTTGACATCCATGCATTTTCAAATTAAAAGCCTTGGTTGAATTTTTTAATGGTTTTTGCTTCATTTTAAATGTATATTTGTCTGCATTAGGCTTTGACTCTGTTTGTGTTCWGCAGCTTATAAAAAACTCTAAACACCTCAGGAACTTTGCACCCAGCAGCACTTCCTTTTTTTTAATCTACTCCGATAAAACAGCTTGGTGTAAATATTTTACAGCTAATTTATTCATTTTATTTGAATTTATAAAGATAGAGAAACAATTTTTTTTGTAGTCCAACTGGTTTAGTTTGAATATTTTTCCTCTTTAAACTGGAGTTTTTGTCSTCCACACATGAGATCATCTTGTTTTTGAGCAGACACACTTGGAGACTTTTAGCAAAAATTGCAGAAGAAGTCAAACTATTTGCATCCAGTAAATACACCTGATGTAGAGTATAAAGTATGAAGCAGATGAGTGTTTTCTGTTATAAATGTAACATTCAGAGCCACAGGGTGAACAGACTTTCTGTACGTCGGTGTTTCCTTACAGTTTTAGGACATTTTGTCCCGACACCTGGACCTCCTCCTTTCGGTTCAGACGGCCCGTAAAATTCTCATGACCTTGTAAGGCCATAAACACAGCGGACTCAGCGTCATGGAAATGTTTCTTTTTTTTCTCCTTGTATTTTTTTTATAGAGGAACAGGAAGGCTTTGAGTAGCAGTATATATATTTTAGATGAATTAGGAAAAGCCAGAGTGAAGGCCGAAGCTTTCATAGTAAAGCTAAACATTGCTGACAAGAATAAAACCAGCCTGATCTGTGTTTTTTCCTCAGTCATGCTCTGGATTTAATTTCCATCTAGGACATAAAGAACCATCTGATTCGAGTTTTTTTCCACTTCATATATTAGATTTTACACGTTTCCTCGTGAAAGATAAAACAATTCAATTATAGAGGAAATCCAAATTTTATCAAGTTGCAGCCACTTTCACAGTTGATCGTTTTGCTGCACGTGACAAAGTGAAGGCGCACGGGCCAGATTTGGGACCTGTTAAAATTTTATCCGGCCTGTGAGAACATATCYTAAAATGTTTTAGAACTGACCTGCTAATCTGAATCTATTAGTTTTAAAGCTTGCTTTCAAAAACKGAGCGGACTTCGTGCAAACATCACTGCAATGAAAGCAAGAATTTGATTTTGATGTGGTGAAAGACGCAGATCATCTCGCAGCCAAAAAAAACGTAAATGATTAGAATCCAAGTTTTTCTTTATACTTATAAACCTGCTCAAACTAGGTGAACATTTTAAATTGTATCTCTCTAAACATTTCTATGTTTTTAGTCATATTCTTATAAAATGATGAGTTTAAAATGTAGGCGAACTAATTAAAAGCATTACTTAAACTTCTCGCTGTGACCAGTTTGACTTAACAGTTCGAAGRAACAAGAAAAGACAAAAATGTCTAAACATAACTTACAGTTTTTCAGTGACAGGGTTTAAGGTGATCAAACATTCAGCCTTTTAGGTTTCAATATAAGACACGAAAACCCTTTGATTCTGTGCAATTTATTAAAAAACTAGATCCCCTTTTGCAGAATTTAGATCAAAGTACCAATAAAAACAACAACCACCAATGATCCCAGTGACGAAACATTTTGAGGACATTTACATTCATTACTAACAATCCTGTGCAGAAGAGCTTTTCTTCCTCTTTTTTTTTCAAACAAAACAACATTTTCAAAAGACCACTTAAATACATTTCATATAAATAATTTAGAATATTTTACACATTTCTACACTTGAGCGCAGTGAGTTGGTCCCCTGCAGAATAAAGTGAAAATCAATTTGTACTTTGAAGGGAATGTGGAATAAATATGTTGAAGTTTAAGTTAAAACATTGCAGAATGATTTTAGTCAGCTGAGTACAGAGCAGGACAGCAGGAATSTGTTAAAAAACTCTTGTTCAAAAAGTTTAAAACATCTGTACAACTCTAAAAAGAGGAGTGTATAAAAGATTGTTTAAAAATGTAGACTAGCTTTAAAGATCGTTAAACTACACTGAAAGTAACCGGCAGTAAAACGGTTGTCTATTTTTTTTCGTACTGACCGTGTTGTTTTTAAACGCCGACACTTTATTTGTGTAAAAAAGCGTTTTGGGAATCCTCGGACCAGGTGCGAGGCGGCGTTCAGAAGGAGTTGTTYTTGTTGTTGTCCAGCCGGTCCAACATGGTGGTCACCAGCTTCTCCATTTGCTTGGACCGCTGCCCGCTGGTCTCCAGGACTTCCTCGTGGTTGGCCCGCTCCTGGCTGTCGTAATCCATCACCGACCGGTTGGTGATCAGAGACATGGCGAAGCAACGCATGCCGGCGTGGCGGGCGACGATCACCTCGTGCACCGTGCTCATCCCTGCACAAAGACACAGATAAAACATCAGCCCTGAGGAGTCCTGAGGAAAACCGTTTGACTTTGATGTTTGTGGGAAAGTTGGTTCTCTTTTAGGTCAAACTTTATGCAATGATCTGCAAATCTCATATTCACAGYGGAACACGTCATTATTTCTGAGATTCTATAATAATTTTAAATTCTCTGCTTGTTAATTCCTGCCTGCCTGTATTTTTCCACTCACCCTTCGCTGTCAGTCACTCCCAGTTCCTCTGCATCGACTCAGAGTTCCCTCCTTTCTTTAACAGCAGCTGAATAAATAAATAAATAGCTTGTCTGGGAAAGTGTCTGACTAAAACGTTGGGTTGTGTTTAAGTGGAATCCAGGAGTAGTAGTTTCTGATTAACTCTCCAGTTCTCCTTTTTTACCTCCTTTAAAAAAAAAAAACACACTAAATCATTCTTATAGAATAATACTTTTCATAAACTTTGCAGCAGCAGCATTTAAAACTGAACAGGTTTGCACACATGAAGAAAAACATCTTATAATTGTGGCCCTAAGGATCTGAAACTCTTCACCATGTAAGGATCAAATCTGTAAAAACTGTTTTTAAAAGACATCAGCGAGCTGAAGCTTGTTAATGAAAACCCAAACTACAGATCCTGTTTTCTGCTTTGCCTCTCTGGAACATGCATGCTTAAACTAATTGCCTGCTTTGGTGTTTCTGACTCTTATTCTTTGTAACATGAGCTGGTTAAGTTTGACAACATTTTGTTGACTAATTGCCTCAATCCTGCAGAAAACAATATTATTTAGTTTAAAGTTAGACAGTAAGTACGATTTAAATGACTCCGTTATTTAGAAGGATGAGTCATGTTTAGTGCAATGCTTTCCCCAAACTAGCGTGTCATAACATGTCATCTGTTTCAGCTCATTTTTGCTCTGAATGAAAAAAATACCAGAGTTTGTGATTCAAACGTTTTTTGTTCCTCATGTCTGTCTGTAAATTCAATTACAACACAACACTAAAGAGGGTTTTTTCGAAGTCCTGTGACTCATTTCCTGTTAGGCGTTAGCTTGATTGTTCTGGAGACTGCATACGTGTTTGGGTTTAATGTTGGTAATTTGGTTCATGTCACAACCTGGAGGAGGACATGTTGGGACATTTTTTTGAAATCTGTTACTCAGGCAGGTATGACGGCAAATCCATTATTATGTATCAACCCTACTGCTGAGAACGTGTTTGTTAAACTTTACACCAGTGTTGTAGTCCAGACCAGGACCAGAGTCTATCAGAACCTAGACAAGACCAAGACTTTTAGGAGCTGGACCAAGTAGAGACCAAGACCAGAGTGCATCGAAACTGAGACAAGACCAAGACTATTGGGGGCTGGACCAAGTCAAGACCAAGAATGAGTCGAGACCAAGACCAGAGTGTATCAGAACTTAGACAAGACCAAGACTTTAGGAGCTGGACCAAGTAGAGACCAAGACCAGAGTGTATCAGAACCTAGACAAGACCAAGACTTTTAGGAGCTGGACCAAGTAAAGACCAAGACCAGAGTGTATCAGAACCTAGACAAGACCAAGACTTTTAGGAGCTGGACCAAGTAGAGACCAAGACCAGAGTGTATCAGAACCTAGACAAGATCAAGACTTCTAGGAGCTGGACCAAGTAGAGACCAAGACCAGAGTGTATCAGAACCTAGACAAGATCGAGACTTCTAGGAGCTGGACCAAGTAGAGACGAAGACCAAGACCAGAGTGTATCAGAACCTAGACAAGACCAAGACTTTTAGGAGCTGGACCAAGTAGAGACCAAGACCAAGACCAGAGTGTATCAGAACCTAGACAAGATCAAGACTTCTAGGAGCTGGACCAAGTAGAGACCAAGACCAAGACCAGAGTGTATCAGAACCTAGACAAGATCGAGACTTCTAGGAGCTGGACCAAGTAGAGACGAAGACCAAGACCAGAGTGCATCAGAACCTAGACAAGACCAAGACTTTTAGGAGCTGGACCAAGTAGAGACCAAGACCAAGACCAGAGTGTATCAGAACCTAGACAAGACCAAGACTTTTAGGAGCTGGACCAAGTAGAGACCAAGACCAGAGTGTATCGAAACTGAGACAAGACCAAGCCCATTGGGGGCTGAGACCAAGTGGAGACCAAGAATGAGTCAAGACCAAGACCAGAGTGTATCAGAACCTAGACAAGACCAAGACTTTTATGGGCTGAGACCAAGTCAAGACCAAGAATGAGTAAAGACCAAGACCAGAGTGTATCAGAACCTAGATAAGATCAAGACTTTTAGGGGCTGGACCAAGTCAAGACCAAGAATGAGTCAAGATCAAGACCAGAGTGTGTCAGAACATCAAGACCAGAGTGTATCAGAACCTAGACAAGACCAAGACTTTTAGGGGCTGAGACCAAGTAGAAACCAGGAATGAGTCAAGATCAAGACCAGAGTGTATCAGAAGACCAAGAATTTTAGGGGCTGAGACCAAGTAGGAACCAAGACCAAGACCGTTCCCAGACAACCACTATTCATTTTCCTGGGCGTGCCACATGTGAGTGAAAGGGGATGTGAAACAGCGGCAACAAAAATCCATAATTAGCTATGAGACATGTTTTGATTTGAATCTGAACATCCAATGAAAGCAAAGATGTTAACAAATAAATGGGACAATATTTTGGCAGTTTAGTGATATTTTCACAGTTGTGGTCTTTAAACAAAATCCTGAGTTCTCAACATCTGAGGCTGAGAACAAATTCTGTCAAATCAGAAAGCCAAAAAGTGGTCTTGAGTACTACAACACTACTTTACACGTGTACTATTTACAGAAAATATTAAATCTGGAGTCTCCATTAGTAAAAGATAAAAATAAATAATGTGCAGGTGTTATTCTAGTTTTGGATCCCTGCATGTGTGTGTTAGTCCTTTACCAACAGCGTCGCCCCCTAAGCGGTGCAGCATGCGACACTCAGCGATGGTTTCAAAGGAGGGACCCCCGAGGACGCAGTACACCCCCTCACGCAGGAAGTCGCTGTAGCCCAGCTCTGTCGCCACTTCGTGCGCCAGCTGCTGCAACTCGCGGTCGTAGGCGTCGGACATGCAGGGAAAACGGACGCCGAACCTGAAGGCGAGAGGAAACGTTGCAGTCACTCAGGGGAATCCATGTACACAACTGTGACTCAAATACAGAAACTCCCCAGTTGGCTCAGGTTGTGGTACGATTAGCAAAGACTCTGGATACTCTGCTTGTAGAGAAATCAAAAGCTTTTTTTTTTCAGTTAAACCTTGATATTATGCTCTGCTCTAAGCTAAGAGTGGCAGTGTTGTGTACAGTCTGCAGCTTGCTGCATCTGGAAATAAAGCGTCTTTGTTAGCGAGGCCATCAGATGGTTATTGTTTCTCTGCAGAGCCGAGGAATGGCAGCTATGTGTAGAAAAAGCTGCAATGTGTGCATGTAAACAAGATCAAATCTGTTGGAGGAGGAAAGAATTGAAAGAGCTGAACTCATCACATACTGGAAATTCAAACCACCCCCCAAAAAACATCTGCTCCTGACCCGCCCCTCACCTCCACCTACCTGTCGTCGTTGGGTCCAGCCAGCGGGTTGTTTCCAGCAAACCCGGGCATGTTGACGTGGTCCTTGATGATCATGATGTCGCCCACTTTGAAGTCCTGGTTCAGGCCTCCAGCTGCGTTCGTCAGGATCACAGTTTCGACGCCCATCAGCTTGAAGACGCGCATAGGCAACGTAATCTGGAAAAATCACAGTGACACTCTCACACAGCAGTATTTGTTGTAATGCTCTGGAAAATACAAAACCACACTGCAAAAAATGTAATCTTACCAAGTTTTAAAACCTTATATCAGCCAAAAACTGTAAAAACTGTCCATCTAACCACTTATATCCGGCCAAAAAGTCTTTTTGATCTTGTTTTGAGAC